AGCCCCCTTGCCTTCCCTCCACATGGCCCCTGCTTGGCTGGCCAGTTCTTTGGGAGGAGTCCGTGGCCTGCTGCCTTCCTGTTCCATTCACACTGATTTGGGATGTATAAAGGGACCCATCTACCTACTTCATAATGGAGAGATTCTCTTGAGCCTTTCTTCACTGCACACACTTGGAGCACCAGATCACAACTGGACCCTAAGAATTTTATTTCACTATAATCACTATAATCTTAGATGTAAATACTATTTCACTTTACACATATGAATGGTAGGGGTGTGAGAAGCAGGCAGTATTCAGTTCAGATTCAGAATCGGCTCAATTTGGGGGACGGTGATTTGTTTCGCTGATTCGGATCACTTGTCCCGATGTGATTCGGAAGAATCTGAAGATTTGATTCTGATTCAGAGAGTCAGCGATTTCGCCACAGATATAGCTTTATATGTTTTTTCTATGCGCCTCAAGGTACCAGGTGTGGCTTGTGAACGCTGCGATGCTGGGGCAGATGGAGTATCCCACGGGAGTGTCCCCTGCATGCTCGGTGGAGGCCCCGGAAGTGGACAGGAAGTACTTGTGGTCTACTTTTGGGTCTGCCACCGAGCACACGGGGGACTCCGTCCTGCACCCCCCCACCCAGCTCAGCAATCGGCTGGGGGGCACCCCAGGTGCCCCCCCAGACCTAGGAGGCACCAGTCACCGAGCTGAGGGGATCCACCACGCTCCCCCCTGCACTCCTGTGGGACACTCCATCCGCCCGACCATCTCAGTGTTCACAAGCCATGCCTGGTACCTTGAGATACGTAAAAAAAAACCCCTATGAAGCTGTGTCTATGGTTGAATCGATGAATCTCTCCGAATCAAATTGGAGGTTTCTGATTCAATTTGGAGAGATTAATGGGTCTCCTGATTCAATTTGGATTTGGAGAGTAGGTTGCTGAATTGGCCGAATCTCCTCCGAATTGAATCAGCGATCAAAGCTTCGCACAACCCTAATGAATGGAACGTATCCACTTCATCACTTCAGGTTTGGCACTTGCATAGTTTGGACACGATGTTGTCCATGTGCTCACTCAGGGTACTCACAGAACTATACTTTGGCTCGGCAGGTACCTGGTGCCATATGCTTTCCCAGGTTTGCTGGGTAAGTTTCCAAACATTAGCCAGACAAAACATGACTAGTGGGAGGGAAAAGGAGGTCCCTCCATATCGGCCTAGTGATTGGGTCATCTGCTCAGGGAGCAGGAGACTTAGGTTTTAAAGCCTCCCCCCCCTATCCAGGATGGAGTATAAATCTGCATCCTCTAAATACCAGGCCACAGGTTAGGCCCATGATTCTTAACTAGGGTGCCAAGGCATCCTGGGGTGCCTGAGATCCTTTTAAGAGATAGCAAGCAATAGTAGTACGGTTAGGTATGCAAACATCTACACATGATTCTCATGATTTCAAATAGAAATCCATAGTGCCGAAGGCATTCTGACCTGTTGTGGTCTTTTTGAGTTCTTTGCAACAGAAGAATTGCTCTGTTATTTTTCCATGGTCAAAAAACAAGTGAAAGGTAAGGGCTGGCATTTTGTGAGGGTGCCTTATGTCTATAAAGATTGGGAACCATTAGGTTAGACATTAAGCAGGTCCCCCTTTCTACCCTGGAGGCCCAGGGGAAAGTAAATAAGATAGGGGGGCTATGGCTCAGTGAGATGGCTATTGCCCTGGGTTCCAGATTGAACTTTTACTCCCAAGGGGCCAGAAACAACCTCACTGCTATCATCCGTTTTATACAATAACTAGTAAATGGAAGGTGCAATGAATGAGCCCCAAGAAGAGTCTAGATTGTATCTAACCTGTGGCCTTGTGGATGCAACACTTTGTCTAGCAACAGGAACTGCAAGTTCAAATCTCCTGTATGTGAGAGAGGCTTAAAAGCTGGATTTGCTTCTCTCTGGGTAAGTACTCTAGCAATTCAGTTATTAGGATTAAAATACTCTTCATTTTAGATGTGTGCAGAGTGAAATTAGAAACCAAAATAGTGCATGAGTGCCAAAAACTGCAGTTGATAACCTTGCCATTAAGATCCATAAAGTGAAATAGGACTCTGCCTTCATTTAATGTATGCACAAGCCAAATTTAATGCACACACAAGCCAAATCCTGCTCACAATAACATGGGAAGAGCATCAATTAGTTTAACATCCATAGCTTGTACAAGTGAGATAAGGAGGCTTTAGTTCGCTGATATAATTCATCTCCTATGACATGCCCTCAAAGTGTTGTTTTACCAGTAGTCAAATAGCAAAAAAAGAGTTCCTACCTTGTAGAAAATTCCAAGATGTAAATGCTGAAATAAATTCTGAATTCTGTGCATATAAACAATCAGAAACTCTGTGGAAGGAGTCGAGACCCATGTGGAAATGGTACATGATAAGAAACACTCTAGAATGTGTTACATTTTTGTTAAGGAGTCTTTAGCCTCTATGATCTTGGTTAAATACTGTACCTCCTATCACCTATACTTGCATATTATCCTGTGTTACTAAAGGACTGAATAAAATAAGAGAATTGCTACATAAATGTAAGCCATGAAATATTAAAAATACCACTTTGTGCATCCTCATATTAACAGATGAAGTGTTAAGAAAGAATATATTACATCTGGGATTGCCAATACATTCCAGCAGATCAAGACACTTTATTTCAAAATTAATCTTAGGGTTGAGAAAAACTGTAATCACATTTAAAAAAAAAGGCGATAACCTTTAGTCATTTCCTGTATTTTTCCTGAATTCCTATCCTAAGTACATTTCTTAGAAGCAATAATTCATTCAGAGTAATCATACAACTATGTCCATTCAAATAACAGTGTCTGTTTGAATAGCACTTTTTGATAAAATCAAATTTTAAGAAATGAGTTGAATATGGCTCAGTCTTTGTCTATTAATTTTAACCGGTTTGTGTTCCCATTTTCAGGTTCTTTTTTATAATTATGTATATATAGCATTATACTTTTAACAAAGATAGCTGGAAAGAATGAGATAATTCATCACCTCACCTTACAATTAAAGGGCTCCAATGAGTTTTAAAATCATGTATGAAAAGAGCCTATCCTCTGTGACTAACGTCACACTAGATTATTACAAATGATCTAATTTGCTTTTCATTCTTTATTTGGGTGAACTTTTTGTGTTTCTCACTGAAAACTGAGCACTCTCATTGTACATCACAAATATCACTTACAATTCTGCTTATGGGATCCAACTCAGCAGACCACTTACACACATGCTTGAGTCTTGTTTTAAATTGCGGCCATAAATAATTTCTGGTCAATTACGTCAGGTTTCCATGCATTAGCCCAATGCTGTAATGTCTGTTTCATGCATTAGCCCAATGCTGTAACGTCTGTTTCAAAAACTGCAGAGGAAATTTGAAAAGAAACTTCCAAAGGCAATTTCATTACAAAAAAAATGGGACACATTTATTGGCCCTCTTAGGCAACATTTTCCCTGAGAATGTACGCTGAAAAGATCTTTTTATTGCTAGCTATATTTAAATATCTACAGACAGAACATAATGTTTCCTTAATACGGTGCATAGTTATTTATTTAGTAATTTACATGAACTCATTCTGTGCATTTAAGGCTTAGACCCCATTTTGTAAAGTCTTTAATTGCTTGTTAAGAGGACAATTCAGCAGGGCTAAGTAGCCTGGACAGAGAGCCATGCTATATCCTGCTGCCAGTACTTAAGCTAGCGCTACATCAAGTTGCATTACGCACTGTACCCTCTGGGCCTCAACTGTTCGTGAAAATGGGATGTGGACCTCTGAAGATCTTACTCACAAAGCACAAACAGCACGGGGACAATAAATTGAAGGGTGTTGTCATGGGTTAGTGTATGCTTAGAATATATCTTCACACCTATATCAAACTACAGCCTCGGTTGTGTTTGCTGAGTCTCATTTTGTTTATAAGACCATTCCTTGCTTGCAATTTAGCTTTGTAGCTCCCCTATTAGTGTGAAACGTGGGACACCTCAGGCAAAGCTCTTGAACTTGCAGGAGGATTAGCAATGGAAGGTTCTCAACCCTTTCATTCAAATGAAAAAAAAAATCCTTGGCCAAAAAGCAGGCTAATAAGGCAAACCCTCCCTGCCAAATGAGCTGGTAACTAAGCAACTGATCACCTGATAGGAATTCAAGGCTAAGGAAATAGGTCATGGGGTGGGAGGGGGAGTGTATAAAAGGAAGACTCTCTCACTAAGTGGAAGTAGAAAGCAATGCTGTGTTAAGAGGAGAAGCAGGGCTTCTTATAAGATGCTGACCAAGTGTTAATGAACACTCAAGAGTGCTGAGGCAGGTAATAGTTCCCCAGAGTTTATTATTCTGCATGGTTTTGTGTCTCTCTTGTGCTGCTGAAAGTAAAGAATGAATGTTTTAAAACTTAATCTATGAAGTCTGAGTTCAATTTGGCTTCAGCTATCATGCGTCTTTACAGCAGTAAACCAGAGTACCAGGAGTGCTGGAGCTCTGGAGAAGGTGTGCTTAAGCTACTAGGAGAAAAAATTGGGGCTTGGGCAGCTGGACTCCCTTTTCCAAAAAGGGGAGAACAGTGTCCAGGGAGTAACCTAGAAGTCAAAGGAAAAATAGTGCCTCAAGCTTGCCTACAGAAAAATAAAACATGGATCCAGTATTGGGATCCATACAACTTGGGCATATCTTGTGTTTATTTCCCAAAGACCTCTGCCCAAACTGCTTTTCCCCTAACTTGGTTATATTTTTAAATGAGGAAAGGGAATGGATCAATAACTTTAATCATATCTTCTAGTAACAATGTTAAAGCCTCTTAAATTTGGAGCAGGTGAACAACTGGTGAATAAACAGTTTCTCATGGTCTTGATCTTTATGGCATCCAACACTTGTCAAATAAAAATAAATAAATAAATAAATAATAATAATACAGTGATACATGGCTCTACTAAAGAACAAAATGGAGCAAACTGAATTGTAGGCCTCTAGCTGGAGAACTAGTAAGCCTTCCATAATTAAGCCAGCTGAGGACTTCATCATTGAAAACCAAGTTTAAAAAGTCCTCCTTTCTTAGACTTCATTGTAATAAGATGCATTTGCTAAATTGTTTTATAGGGCAATTTGAGAACTCCATCAAGCTGTTTGTTTTGTTTTTAGAAGCATATTACAAGTTAACAGAAGTTGGAGGCTTAAATTAAAAATCCCAGTCATTTTGGCAACTCCGCTGCAAATGAAACAAGGGCCTTACTTAGGGCCTTGTCACACGGGACATTTAGTACGTGAATATCACGTAACGTTCCACAGATTTAGCAAGTTAGAAGATGTTCTGAGCAGTCGTATGGTCATGCTTACTATGAAGACTATGTGAACGGCTCATGTTCTGTCGCTAGTTGCTCGTAGTATCTCTGCAATGCAGGCCAATGTTGGTTCAATGTTATGGAGATGCTCCTTGGCCAAAAATGTTTTAAAGTTTGCTATGATACACACCTGCTTCTGGAACGTGTTTTCCTTCATGGACATGCAGATACTAACCTTTTAAGTGCATTTACTACATGCTAAGTATAATGTGTGATGTGGCCCTCAATTAACTTGATGGAAGTCTCATTGACCTCTGTGAGTAAGCCAAGTATCATTCGCAGTTCATCTGGTGTATTCACAAACTTTTACTTGCTGGGTTTTTTTCTCCTGTGCTTTTTTTTTTTCTCTTTTTTGTTTGCTTTCTAGTTAGTGCAATAGGGCCAGTTAACCCCAGTGTAGCATGGGCATGAAAACTAACCTCTAGTGCAGTTGAACCAAAATGTTAGTCATGTGTTTTAATGAGCCTGCCTAGCTCCCTCCCCAGCTTCTAGTTTAAAATGCATAGATGTCTCCACTTCACTTCGTAACATTTTGAATCAGATTCTTGTCATCCCATATGTTCAAACACTATCATTACACTAATTGCATGATTGAGACCAGTGCAAGGGAAGAATTGGGCCACCTGAGGCTGATACGTCCGATATTTGCAACCCAGCTGCTTTAAAATCGCCCCCATTCTGGATGGTGAAAACAGTAGTCTAGATGTTTGCAACCTGCTTAATTTGCAGCAGAGTCAAGGATGAGTTATGCAGATTTTTAAATGTAGCTTCTGCTTCCAAGGATGCTGCTCTTCTATTCAGCTCCAGCACGTCACCAGTCCTGTGCAGCTGTTTGCTGTGTATAGTCTCAGTCGGTCTGCAGGGCCTAAGAAAACTAACCCTATGAATGAATTACCCAGGTTCTGCTAGACCATTTCTGAATCCATACCATGAGCAGATGCATTTTAACTGACACTGCTATATGGCAATACTATCAAATTTTTGTTATCCCAAAGCACGTTTAATTTTGATCCATGCCGTGGAGATGTGCAGCTCTGACAATCTGGTATTTCTTAGGCTTTAGAGCTCATTGACATTAAAATGTGCTTCATAGATATAAACAGTAGCAAATAGTTATTTATCTATTAAGTCCTCATTATTATATCAACACATGCTGGGGCACTTACCTTTCTGCCTCCTGTGTTTATGCGAAGTGGAGTGAGGAAGGGATCAAAGATCATATGGCTGGTTTCTATATTGACAGGTGACTGTCTTTTCCCAACCGAGCAAAGATTCCAAGCTGAGTTGACCAATCCCCAGAAGGAAGGAACTAAAAATGGATGAAAAAGGGTACAAATTTAAGTGTCTGGAGGGAGAAAGGAGGAAATAAAAAAGCCTCAAAACAGATATGCAGGCAATTAAACTTCTTGTACCATGTATACATGCAGTAGGATCAAACTGGGGGGAAAATCAATACAGAAGCTGAAATGTAATGCTTGATATATAAGAGCCCAAGTCTGCCAAAATGACAAGTTTAAGTATTGGCTAAGAGGGTATTTTTTTTCCTTTACTTAATCTACCTGGAATTAATCATGCCTGACTTTAGCTACGAGTTACTAGTTCCAAACCAGCACTAGGGACTGTATTTTTATATATATATAATATGAAGTTTAAATAAGGTGTAAAACCTTTCTCTATTTTGATTGCTTCACCATGCAAACTTAACTTTCTTTTAGGCTAATCCATAAAGGGGAAAAAGTTTTTATTATACTGAATTTTCAGATAATGTATTGTTACCTCGGTTCATAATTGCTTCTGAACCCTACTTAAGATTATGCCAGTTGAGGGTTTTAGACAAACAGTTGGGATCTATAACTGCCTCAAGGTTTGTGTTTCAAATGCAAGCTTTTTGGTTGGGCAGCAATGTATGATTTCAGCTCAAATTATGCTAGAGTAAGACATGTTTTTGTGCACAAAAATAAATTAAGACACAAGAACATCTGCTAAGTATTTTTCTATTTCTGTGTTTAGAAATATATCACAGATAGATAGAATCCTCTCTTCTGAACTAAAAGAAGTTGGCAGTTGGGAGGTTGGTTATTTTTCCCTGTGTTGACTGCCTTACCTGTGTGCGTCTGATTATAGCTCACAGCTTCAGTCCCTTCATGATTTAGAGCTTATTGGCCGCTTGTATCAATCAGAGCTACTTTCGGCTTTATGGACTGAGCTTGGGAAAGTTATTGTGGAGGACCACTCTTACACCTTGAGACCCTTCCTGTTTTGTGCATATTGAAACAAGTGATAATCCACATATGCAAATGTGATAAACCTCATGCCTTGCTACAAAGCACCTCGGTAGTCCACCCGAGTACATGTCACTGGACACGTTTCCATTATGCTTAAAAAGCTGTGGTTACTTCCATGACACTGAGAGTCAAATTGACTTAAATTCAGATTACAATCTACTATACAGAGCTACTGTAAACCCCAGGCCCTGTGGAAACTCAAGAAGAGGACCTGTTCTAACTTTCTTCCTTGAGGAAGCTCAGCTCTGATACAGACAGTTCACAAACTTGTTGTTGCACAAACTTTGAGTGTGTTCAAAATCCCCTCTCTCCCCAACACCGGTCATAAAAAGGTCTTTTACAAGTGTGAGTAATTCCTCCCACCTCTGCCTCACAAGGAAATGATGTGCTTCATCTCTAGGCATCCTGTTTCCTTCTCCCTCCCCCACCCCTCTCCTCTGCCAGCCCTTTTACCCAAAGTTTATAGGCCGTAAGACATTCCTTAATTTATACTAATAATAGCTCAGGCAGCCATTGCAAGTGATGTGCCTAGTTGTCAAATTTAAACAAACATACTTTGTTCATATTTTTTTTTAATTGGAGTGTTATTTTAATTTAGTTATGCTACAGTAACTTGTAATAATCATGAACTGCCATATGTTCTAAAAATACCACTGTTTTTCCTCTAAAATTTCATTGCAACTTTACCATGACATGCTGTGTGAAAAATGGGGAGAGAACAGCTTTTTACTCACTTTTGGAAGCATAAAACTCAGCTTTATTTGGATTAGCAAAATTCCCCTTGATATATTCTAACATCACGGCCAAGGATACATGTATTTTCCCCATTACAATATGCTGTTTCAAAATGCATTAGTACTAATGGTGGAACTTGGGACATGTAACTTCAAAAAGATGGAAAATATTCACTGGAAGGGCTGAGTTGCTTGAATGGTAGCTCCCTGTTCATTGAGATTTTTTTTTTTTTCTTAACAAGAAGAATATTTGGTAATAGGATTAAAAACATGCAAGGGATAATGTAAACTTTCTTTTTTCCCAGGTCTTATAACTGACACTTCATGAATGTTACTTACTGCAATAAAGAGTGTCAAGGGGAAGTGGGAATTACAAGATGACCAATGGTTAAAAAAATTAATGATGCCACTGGGGATGCCCAGAAAAAGATGTATGCCAAAATGGTTGCTGTAAGTGCTGGTTTTATTACTCTGATTTTGACAGGGCAATCTTGCGTTCTCCAGACCGCCTGCCACAACAGTCCACTACACGGAGGTCAAGTAAGTGGAGTTCTAACATGACGCTTCACTGCAAACGTCCTGATACCCTGACATGTAAGTCTAATCCACAATCCTTTCTTTTTTTCAGTGCCTAGATAATTCACTAAGTGCATCGCTATTTATTTACAGCTTACCTTGCCTAATGCATTTATCACTAGTCTCTTCCTTGATGCCCATGAGACCTTCCCTTGGTGATCACTAGATTCTGCTTGCTCTATAATTAAGAGTTAATAAGAGAACGAAGCCAGAGACCAGCTGAGAATTCCACAGTGGAATTAATTAGTGGGTGACAATATTAACAGCAAGCTGCCAAATGAAATGCTATCTTTCTGAGACAGGTGTGAAATTACTGATTTCTGAAGTGTGGACTACTACTTCTGTCTGTGCGAGTCTCAAACTCCAGGGAAAAAAATATTTGTAGATGTTGCTTTTTTTTTTCCAGTGGTACAATATAAATACAGACTAGGCAGTGCTGGATAAGATCTTATGCTTAACTTTCTATGGATTAGTGTTTTTGGTTGGTTGTTTTTTGTTTTTGTATAAATACCTCGCCAAATATGTGGCTCGTTAGTATTGCTGAATTTCCTCTTTGGGAAAAAAAGGGTAAACATAGTGATGTCGGCATGATAATCTAATGAACTGGATTGTGAGCAGTCTTCGCTCATCTAGTGGAGGACGCTGGCACACGTGCACGACTGAACCTTAGAGGCACTGGAAGTCATTTACTACAAATTCTTCTTTAACTGAAGCGGGTTTGGGGAGATTGAGGAAGGTGTGTTCTCTCTCGGTGTTGGCGCACAGTTTCAAGGAGCAGAACCAGTGTTCAGAATCCATGAAGGAAGTCTAATGAGGCTTGATACAGTAGCAAAGGAAGGATGAATTACTACTATTAAGCAGCTCCAAAATAAACTGCCATTCCCAAAACACCATAATAAAGGAACACTGTGTTGGAAGAGGACCTCTTTTATATGACAAGACACCAAATAGTCAGCTACCTCTAACGGATGACTTCTGGCACTCTTCCCATCTTGCCACACAACGGTAGAATCCGGATAACAGATGTTAGCACACAGGGTATGTCTACACAAGACGCTAACTGCGCAGTAGCTTGATTCTACTGTGCAGTAGTGTGCAGGGCAAAACCTGGCCTAGTCTGCTATTGCGCAGTAGGACTGGGCTACTGTGCAGTAAGCATCACGAAAAAGCTGTGTGCTGGCACTACTGCACAGTAGTGCCACTTACTGCACATTGATTTAGTACTTGGTTATCTGAGTACTAAACTTAAATGTACAGTAACTATGGCACATTACTGAAAGTGTAGATGCACCCACAGCGTCCCACATTCCCAGTGCCCTTTCTCTCCAGAGACTCAGACTCTTCATCCTTGGAACAGTGCATGGGGGTTCAGAGGATGCAGACTGGGGCCCTGACTTATCAGACCAATGGATCAAATATTTCAGTCCAATTTATTTCAATGGGATGAAGAAAAGTGGGCTTTGAACTGGAATCTCAACTTTGCACATAACGGATGGTTGCAGCTCTCCAAGCCGAGCCCCGGGATGCTGTCCTCGGCTGTGGAGGAATTTCCAGAGACATTCCTCTGAACTGTGGAGTCAGAAATAAGGGAGAAACACTTCAGCCCTGTGCTCCCCCTTCCTGATTCCTGGATTCTGAGTGTGTCCAGGGCAGAAGACGGCCAGACTGTTGGAGACCGAGGTGGCTGGCCTTGGGCAGGGAGGAATTGATGCACAGTTTTCACGAAGGTGGCACTATGGCTGGGTCTCCTGTGCACCATCTGTTCTGGGTGCATTCATGCTGTGATAGTGCACCCTAGACTTAAAATCTGCCGCATCGGCACTGTGTTCATTTCAAATTTGCTGTGGAAGACTGGAAGGACATATCAGACCTGAGAACAAAGTGTCACTCACCACCCCCCAAATGCAAAGCGCTCAACCTAGCGAGTGCTTAGAGATACTTGCCATTACTTTGAAATATGCTTGCAATTGCAGAGATGCTGCTCTGTGAGGCTTCTGCACCAACAATGTAATCTTTGCTTCTGAGCCATAAAACATACAGGTCTTTATTTAAAATAAAAATCCCATCTCTCTCTTCCTGCTCTTCCCCTCCTAGCTGTAGATTTACAACCCCATTCTCCATTCTGAGTCATGATTAATCTCTGTTAGAAGCCATTATTAATATATTTAAAGTTTTAAAAGGAAACCTAATGTTCCCTCCCTCAATACTCCACCTTCCTGCTCAAAGATTCACAGCCTACCTTTATTTTCAGCCCCTGTCGTCTCATTTTTTGTTAACTCTTTCAATTGTTTGCTGTTGATCTCTTACAATTCTTGTGCGCGTGTTTTGTTCTTTCCGTATCAGCATTTCACAAATGAATATTCTGCATGTGATAGCAAGGAAATACCATGCTGTCTTGATATATACACCAGGGGGAAAAAGCAGTAAGACTTAAAAAAAAAACAAACCACGATTATGTATGGAGTGAAATAGTGTTGCCCTTACTTCTACAGAACACAACTGTATTTATGAAATGCCCACAAATCTCCCAACGTTGCTTCCAAGCTCACATCGCAGAAAGGTGTTTTGATATAATATACAGCATCTTTCACTTAGTCTGCTTCACAGAATGCTCAACAGGCATACATACCTGTATTAGTGAACTAAATAGCAGTAAGAGGGGAAAATAAATTAACAGTTGGGAATTAACAGTTTCCTGTAACTGGGCATGTCTACACATGCATTAATGCTGGCTTAAATTTAATGCGCAATAAATTACTAAGCAGTAAGCGGGAATAGGCTGGCATCTACACATGCAGGCCTTAAAGCACTTTAACACTGTGTGGGCTGACTTGGGACTCATTTTAGTCCCAAGTCAGTCCACACGCATAGTGTTACTGTGCATTACTGCACAGTAACTAATCGGGTGTGAATTTGATACCTGCACATCAAATGCAGGTATCAAATATATGCAGGTATCAAATATATCAGATCAAATATATGCTCAAGTTGGCATGAGTTGCCATATTTCCTGTGCAGTATGGGCGTGCATGTGTAGACACATGCCCATACTGCACCATAGTTTCGGTTGCTGTGCAGTAAACATGCATGTGAAGATGGTGATGTTTGGGAAAATGGTTGGGTACTGGCTGAGGAGCCAGCCTTGGACTAGAAGACGTGTTCAAATCCCTGTTCCATCACGTGTTTCAGGAGTTTTCTGGGTTGCCGTAAGCCAGTCACTTAGCTGGCAAACACAGAAAGACTGTTTAAAAAAACAAAAAGGGAAGATAGCAGTTTCATAATTTACAATACCCTGTGCAAATTAATACATTAACAATTGTGATGTACTCTAATACTACCATATAAGTAACTATGCCATGTCTTCACTGTAGCTAACTCCACACAAGTCAGCCTAACCGAAATGAGAACAGCCACGCTACAGAATGAGGGGATTAACAGCACTGACTGCATTGGTCCCCGGTGAGATGTACTAACTTGAGCTCTAGCATCAACTCCTTAAGGGTGTAGCCAACCCACGTTAACCCCCTAACCCCTTGACCTTAAGGCTTCCATGTGATCTTCTGACCCCCTTTAGCACCATGCTGCTTATGCTGGGGGCAAAAAGGAGGCTCTGTATTATTCATCACTGAAATCCTGTGAAACCCAATGATCAGATATTCCTCTCATGGTGTCTGTCAGTTAAATTGGTAACTAAGAAGTTTAAAATAGCTTTTACTGAACCTCTTCTATGTGACAAGTAAGGCATGAGATACATGGGCCTCTTCGCTGGGAAAGGAAAGCTGCACAAGCCTCTGAAAGAAGCCATGAGAGCCCATTAGCTATGTGCTGTAGCCAAGGAAACTCAGTCTCCAACTGGAGCACTGCAATGCTTCCAGTTCTCATTTTTGTTCCAACAAACTGGGACCAGTCCCAGTGTCATTCTGCTTTGGCACAGAGCCACGTTTTTTGGTTCTGCTCACGAGCACATGGCTTGGGCTCTGCTTCTAACCCTACAGGTGGCTTAATGATTAATATGCTCAAATTTTGCTGTTCAGTTGCAATACTGGACTTCTGTACATCTATACATCATGCCTCTAGCACAGATAAATTGGGTAGAGCCTGCAAAAAAACAAGTAAATGACATTCCTGTGTGATATAGGGAAGTGTTATTACCTCCACCCAACAGAGGGGAGTAAGGCACAGATGGATATAGATCCACAAAGGGACTTTCACAACTTGTCTTCAGAGCAGAACTCCTGCCCTAAAGGAAACTCTGAACTGTGGAGAGGAAGACATGACGGTCTCTTGGTTCAGTTAGATAGGATTGATGCAAGAGATCAGATAACTGATTCTTTTGTCATTGCCGTTAGCAAAATGGTGTTGTGGTGTGAACCTCAAAGCTGAGACCTAACATCCAATTTATTAACACAGGGGGTTGCTGTATTTCTCTTGTCTCGGCTGGTTTGCTGCTGCTCACGGGCAGCTTCTCATGAAGACAGCACAGCAAACTTCTCTCTGTCTGGTCAGGAGTGACCAGAAGTGCGACTATTGGAGAGTTGGGGGCTTCTCAATTCTTATGCTGGTCTCAAATTTACACGTCAGAATTTTAGGGCTAAATTTTACCGTTCTTGCTCGCTCACCGAAGACAGGAGAACTTAGAAGAGGTTTAGGGACAGAGGAAGGTCAGACAAAACTCTAGTATTTTGCCCCTTTGGTTATCATTATTACACCTCTAATGGTCTTGCAAAATATTATGTTGGTTCCCTTGATAAAATACTTCCCATGTAACCTTCAACCAATAGTCGATTTTCTTAGCTGGGCTTTATGGTTTCCACGTAGAGATGTAGAACTGTTTTGCTGACACAGCTTGGCATGTGAACCAAACTATTCTTGCCATCTATAGCTCAGGAGTATTAACAGCTAATAGAACTTTTAAAGTTGGAAGAAGTTGGGAAATCCTAGGTGCAACCAGGTTGGCCTAAGCTTTGTGTTCATATCATCCTGGCATAAGATCTTGTGTTCAAAAAGCGAAGCCACCAAAAAAAGCATGAATGGCAACTGTAAACTACTGCGTGCTTTCTTGCATAGAGAGCAAGGGCTTTTGTCTGAACTGTTAACACCTAACAACTATCTAGCCTGATACTGGAATCAAGCCTGGTGGTTTCCATGTCTGGCTTTCCAGAATCATATTACTGACTGTTATATACTGATATCAGGTTTTCTCTCTTCTCCCCCTTCCTCCACAATCCTACAGACAAAAAACAGTAGCAAAATGAAAAAGAGGGGGGAGGCCCAGTAAAGGAAAGGGAAGAAGGAGTGTTCCGTGATGTCTGCAATTAATTAGGTTCTGGGGCTGGTAACACACAGAATGATTTCGGTACAGGACCGTGATGAGGTTGTTTTGCAGCTGTCAGTGTGACAGGTAATAGCAGTGTGCCAACAGCAGAGCATAAAATATCAGGCAGCCTAGAGCAGTCCAATAGAGGGAGAAGATGAGGTACAGAATGACAAAGAAGGCAGAGCAGAGACCAGAAGCAGATACACAATACTCATTTTTGCAGCATTAAGTGGATATTTATAATGACCACCTGATACGGTGGGGTTAGAGATCCAATTTTTATAAACAGTGTGTCTAATGTGCATCAGAAGGTAGGATTTGGTCCTGGCAAGAGAAGCAATTTGTTGGAAAAATTTATTCCTGGCTTTATTTTTATTTTTTTTTACTGTTTTGAAAATATTAAAATATGCTGCTCGGCATCATTAAGATCTGCAAACAGTTACTATATAGTGGAAGCTGATAAATTGCAGTTATTCAACTTTGCAATACTGGAAGACTACTTTCCTCTTATGCTGCGTTATGGAGAAAATTCCATTGTATAGCATCGACTTCCTGTACAAAAGATAAGAGATTTAAGACTCCAGAGCTCTACATAAACTAGGAAATAACGACAGTATCTTATTTATTGCCAAGTAGTAACTTACTAATTGATGACTTTCTAATAAGGCTCACAGTATAATGGCACTGACAGGAGCAATTAAGTCCGTGAAAGCAAAACTGCCATATACAGAAGTTGGCTTCTTGGAAAATTGTTACTTAAACTTTGAAAAGTGTGATAAATTCCCCACCCCCCGAATTGAAGTAACTCTATTTTTGGAATTCATGGGCTGAAATAAAAAAAACAGTATACTTTATTCATGCAGCAGATTCTTGTTTGTATATTTAAGCTTTAAAATTGTAGCAATAGTAAAAAAAAAAAACCCCACACAATCAGATGATATTTGTGCAGTAATTATTCTTGCCCTGGTCCCTCAGATAAAATCTCAAGATAGTTTATTGAAGCTGGGACTTGAAACCACAGAGTGAAGAAGCTATCTATATACACCTATAAAGCAGTCCATTAATTATTTCCACCTACTCAACTTCAAGAAAATTACCATACTAATGCCTCTGGATAACCACATGACCTACTCTGCTTCTACATAAAAGCCAAACGAAAAGTCATAAAGACTTTAAGAGGCATAAATCAGGGACACGCAAGAAATGACAACGTGTAGAATAGCATTCATGGAAGTAATTGGTCACAGAAATGTATAGTTCATGGTAATATTAGGAAGTGCAATTTCTTGGAAATTTGGGAACTAAGAGAGGATATTCTAATACCTTTTTAACAGACCAAGAGTACATAAGATGAAATAGAGTTTGGACAGTACAACAATCATGTAATTATCACTACTTAAATGACTGATTAAAAAACATAGATGTATTTTTTTTTCCCCCCAGTATACTGGAACATATATAAAGGATAAAAACATTTAACACTGGCTGCATATTATTGCTCACAACCCCACCTGACTCAATTCTGCTCTCAATCATCCGGGTAAAACTTAAGTTTAAACTTTTAAGCAGAATTTTGGTGGCGACCTGGGAGAAGCTTTAAAGAATAAAGGAAGACTAGGTTGAACAAAAAAACTGTACTTTTATGAGATGGCTCAACAGTCCTATCTTAAAGGGAGTCAAATACTCTGTAGAGGGGGAACGCTGCTGGGGAGTGCTGTGTGGTGATGACAAAGGATGACGAACGTCTGGATCAGATTCAAATGAAAACAAAACATTTGCTTATTCCAGAGAGTACCATGTTACCATAATTGCTGAATTACTACAATAATCAGTAGTGCCTTGCATCCCATAATTTCAAGGTGTTTTACAAAGCCATAACTCGCCTTGGAAAGAGAGTTATAAATAATAATATCCATTTTGCAACAGACTAAACTTAAACACAGAGGAGTCACTCAACCAAATTTAACCCAACAAATCAGTATTAAAGTCAGGAATAAAAACCAAATTCAGGATTTATACGGAAGTTCAATATCTATATGTCTTGATCCGCTGTCTTCTGTACTTCCCAATTCTTTATCGTAAAAGAATTATAAACGACACACCCAGATGTACAACTCTGTCAAAAATGAAAAGAGGAAAACAAAAAGACCACTAAATCAAAATAGGGGGGAAAAAATGTAAACTACAGGGAAAGACACAAAACCATGCTCATCTTCTGCTGTGTCTGGAACAAAGACGCTCTGAAATATCCTCTTGGCTTTACCTTTTAATAATGCAGAAATGGGCAGCTATAATTTAAGCCCTCCTCAATCAAGAGTATTACTTGGAAAACTATTTAGTAATAATAATTAGTAACCTTTAACCTTGCAAAGCATTTGCTTGTGTTCCTGCACCCATTGAGAATACCAGTGTAGGTGAGAGATGGGTATTTTTCCCCATTACACAGAAATTAATTTTCCCCTTTATAAACCAGGGTAATCATGGGGAAGAATTTCTGCCTCAGTGGGGTTACATTTAACATATACTAACCTGGGCACTGACAGATGATTTTGGTCATTTCCAACCACTGAAAATGATCAAAATTTACTTACGGGCTTTTCGTTGCCGCTATGTACAGGGATGAACCATCTGTTATGCCTCTTCTCTATGCTATTCCCTAATATGCCAATTGTGTGTGTTCATTGGCAGGAAGAGGCCCCATTGATGGAAGCGTGACCAAATGCAGGGCTGGACTGCTTGCTAGGAATACGACGTTAAGAGTTGTTAGTACAACTACATACATATTTTTAGCATACTTATTTCTCTTTCCAAACAAACAACCTAAGGGCAAATTTAAGTATTTATCTGGGGAAATATTAAAAAGACTTGTTGCTGCTGGCAGTTCTATCATTGTCGTTGTGAAAGACTAAACTCACAGAAGGAATATGCTAGCTCCCGATGTGGGGGGAATTAAAAAATAATTTGATTTCAAAGTTAAAAAAGCAACTGAGATGCTTAGTGGAGCTGGCCTGGCCAGTTCATCAGAGTGCTGATCTTTAATGAACAAACCCTTCAAAGTTCAACAGTTTTGGGGGGTGGAAATCTGGCCCCAAGCTTCAGTACACCAGTCAGTCATGCATCGGGCTTCCTCAGAATACCTGCCAATGTCTGGAAGCCTTGTACTAATAGCTAGCCACATCAATGACTTGCCACTTGGTTGGC